TGGATCAGCAGAATGGACTCCTGTCAGATTTTGGTAGTGTTAGGTAGCAGACCCCCCGAAAACACCGTAGCCCCAATCCCACCCTCCATTCTGTGCTCTAGGTTCTGTAATAAGATTTAAAACTCTACCAGCCCCGCCCACTTCCATTGAGTGGGCGTCAATGGTGGAGTTTTGAAGCGCTTTTACAGGACTTAGCGCATGCTTTGGAGGGTGGGGCTGGGGCTACGGTGTATTTGGGAGAGGTCTACTACCTAACTCTACCAAATTTGACAGAGGTCCATTCTGCTAATCCACTGTCTATAAGCGCTCAAAAATTTCAAAGAGAACTTCGGGTAAATCGTTGTGAATAAAAATGAATAATCTGAGAACTAGAGGACTTCATTTCAAAAATGCTTGAAGCCAGCAGTGGCAAGCCCTGATTATGGATCGTCATGTTCGCCGGGTCATTTGGATGGTTTTCACTGTATTTTTTTAAGTGTTCAAAGATGCTTCCGTTGTTAACAGTGTTTCCATCGAAGGCCAGAAGCACGAAAATTTTAACAATTCAAACCAAATATTAGGGGTTTCAAGATTTTATGTGTTTTGCAAAGTTGCACATATCCTTGTTGAAACGCTGATGGCAAAGATTGATAATTTACCGCAGGAACTATAACTATAACTAACGTGGAACTACCTCTTTGCTATGGTCTTTGCTATCCATCATCTGTAAAACAAAGTGTGAAACTGCGAGCACTTTATCCGATTTATCGCAGAGATGATATCAAATACTCCTGAAAATTCCTTTCGTGGAAATTTCTAAGACTGGTCAGACATCAAGTTCACCTCCGTCACACTATCCTGCTAGCATTCAACTCGTCAATCGAATCACGAATTATCCCTGAATCCGTTGCAGAGAACCTTCCGACAGTGTATAAATGCGAAACTTATTTTCCTATTGTTTCACAATCAAACAAAATAGTTCTGCTTAAACAATTTTTACGTCCTTCGTTCTCTCATAAAAACTCCCAATAAGGATCTGTTTAATCTTCTTGACCACGACAAATCTCAAATACGTAGCAAAAAATTTTCAGGAAATTACTTCCAAATTGACCGTTATGACTCCTCTCTTACAGCTGCTAGAAACCGGCTTGATCAAAACAACTTCATGCTGAATGCATACTTCTGCGTGAATTACCATCTCCCAGCTCTTCGCTCACCTTCAAAAATTTGTTAACGGTTCCTTACTCACCTTGTAAAATTTTTGCTACTTTTCCGTTATCCAAATCCACTATCTGAAAGCCTCATGAATTCGTGCTTGTCTTTGAAAAATTTTTCTTCTCATAGATTCTCTGAGAACTGTCTCTCTGTCGCGTGTCAAGAGAAAAATTACTGACACTTTTGGTTTAATTTGACATGTGATTCCAAAATCATCACTTGTGATATACAAGAGTATTTGATATGAAAAGCTTCAAGTGTATTGTGCCACACAGCTTATTAGATGGTCTTTATTAATCCAATCCGGCCTAACGTCTCGATGCCTTCGTCTTTCTCAAAAGCATGAAAGTGGTTCAAAACGTCATCCTTGACTCCAAGCCATCAAACATCCTTCCTAGTCCTGCTAGTTACCTTCTCTCATCTTTCCTAGAATAAAAATCGTCAGGACAGAACAACTGCAGAACAATATTGTATTAGTTGGCATCTCTAACTGTAATACAAAAAGAGTTAATTCGAAACAGACTATACGACAGATACTGCATGACAGAACGGTTAAGGTAAGGTGGGTGGTTGTACTAAATGGGAGTAGTTTATAAACTAAAATGCCTCAACTGCAATGCGCTTTATGTTGGGGAGACAGGAATAACACTCAGCACTCGCCTTGAAGAACACTTGTCACATAAAAACGTAAAAAATGTCTTTACCTTTGGGCAGGCACAAAGGTAAAGCGAAGCGTACAGGAGATGACTTTGATAGCAAGGTAAACTTTTGACTCACGAGAAAGAGACCTCGACTAGGAAAAATGGAGGCTTTCTGGATATGCTTCTCAATAACATCCGGTTTCCTTCCGTTTGTTGCGGTTTGTAGATTACTCGATGTGCATTTATGATATAGTCAGGGTTAAGCGTGGGGTGTGGCACGCCACACCTGTGGCCGTATTCATCAACGAACAACTCAGTGGGTCCCGGAACCCAGTTTAGTGCTCTTGATGAATATCGATTCTACTCCAGGGTAGAATCGATATTCATCAAAAGCACTAAATGGGTTTCGGAACCTGCTGGGTTGTTCGTTGATGAATACGGCCACTGGGGGTCGTATTGAGGAGTCAAAATGGGAGGGGGTCGTAATTATGTAATCTGATAATAGTAATAGCATGATATTCGTATCATAACCATAATTAACATGTCAATTAACCCCTGTAGACAAAGTTTGAGCGAACTCTAGAGATTCATGATACTAAACTATCTAAGTAAAGTCATATTCCAACATGGTTAACTTTGTTTCTAAGGTGAATTAGCCATCCGTTTTTGCACTGAAGACAAAGACTACTCCTTCTTTGTCCATCTCAGAAATCCCGCTTCAAAAGATCTCCAAGCTGTGGAACTAGAAGCCAACCAAAATCCCCTTTTTCTCATTTTTCGCTTTTAATGGCTGTGCTTTCAACAAATTTTTTCAGAGCTAAGGAGACGAATCAAGCTTAAAACATTCCTATGGAATCTACGAGGTGTGCTATCGATTCACATAATTACTGTTCGCTAAAAATGTTTTTTTTGATATAGTTAATGGGGTGGGTACACCCCCTTAAAAGCTGTGGCAGCCACAGCTTTTAAGCGGGTGTGCCACAGCCCATTAACTATGTTATAAAAACATTTTTAGCAAACAATATTTATACGAATCGATAGCCTAGATCTCCTAGTTTTCACAGGAGTGATTTGAGCCTGATTCGTCTTCTTTGCTCTGACAAGGGAATGGTCAGAAATCGAAGTGGCCATTCCAGACAAGCTGGGTACCGTTAGATGCAGCATGAAGCGCTTACTCTAAGCCTGCCTTCCTTACCTGCTTATCGCTTTTCTGGACGAAGCTATAAGCCATTAAAGACCATTATTTTGCTAAGAAATTATGCGTGAAATGGAAAATTTAGCCGTACAGAGCCACGTTCGCCTCTGTGCTGGGCCAAAACATGCAGCTAGCTTACTTAAAATTTTTGAAGCCGGAAGCTGAGCTCAAAGTGCAACAATGTGATCAATTTCGCTGTTTTTATGTATGATTTTTTCACAATAAAACCGCTTGTAGCTTCGCCCACAGAGGCGGGAAGCAGATAAGGAGGACAGATTCGAAGTCAGTGTTTTATACTGCATCGAATGATATACAGCTTCTTTGGTTTGACCACTTCGACTTCTGACCATTCCCTTGTGAGTAATAGTTGGTGTAAGCACAGCCATCAAAAGCGGAAAATGGGAATAATGAGATTTTGGTTGGCTTCTAATTCCATACTTTGGAGGTGTTTTGAAGCGGGATTTCTGAGGAGGACAAAGAAGGAGTAGTGCTTTGTCTTGAGTGCAAAAACGGATAGCTAATTTGCCTTTGAAACAAAGTTAACCATGTTGGAAAATGACCATTTCACTTAGGTAGCCTACTATCTTGAATCTTCAGAATTCGCTCACTCTTTGTCTACAGGGGTTAACTGACGTGCTCATTATGGATATGTCGCCCATGTTTGACACGGCCTTCAGGTAATGCTATCTTAAAGGCACCGTCCACCCTAAGTTGAGGGTGTTGAGCTTTTGGCAGCATATAATAGTAGGGCCCCCTATCAATCCAATGCCCAAGTCGCGGAGCAAAATGCCGCTTCGGAAGCGAGAAAATCGCCTCGGAATCGGGAAGATGCACGTGGACCCCCATCCATGCCCGCCCCTCCCCATCCATGCCCGCCCATTTGTGCGCGCCCATCCAATCACCGTTCTGGAAAGCCAGCCTGTGGGTTCTCCGGAACGGGGATTGTCGGGGTTTTCGAGCATTCTCGACTTCATGTTTGGAATCAGGGACATGAGAAGGCCCTGAAACGACAAAAAAAGTGGAAGTCGAAAATCTGGATGGACGGTGCCTTTAAGTATATAATTCAGGGGGGGGGGGGGTCTTATTAAGAAAGCAATCAGGGGGGAGGTCGTAACCAGCGATCGTGTGCCATAGCCCTTGCTTGACCCTGGATATAGTCTATCCTTTTCGCCATGACTATCCTTTCCGGTGCGAATATCACACAGCGGGCCTCTCGGTCAGCTCTCTTCTGTCCTAATTTTTGTGGTAGGGAAGCTGAGAGAAGGTCGAGAACCAGCAGGACTAGGAAGGGTGTTTGATGTTTGAGGAACGGGTGACGTTTTGAACCATTTACAGGCCAATGAAAAGGCGAAGGCGTCAAAACGCTAGGCCGGATTGGATTAATAAAGACCATTTAAAAATCTGCGTGGCACAATACACTTAAAGAATACACTCGATGCCCAGGTTTGAAGAAAGTGGAAAGCTGTCTGGCTAGCTTATTACGGAAGTGAAACAAACCAAACGTTTACTAAAACATCTTTGTCGTTTTTCGCAATAATTCAAGATTTCATTCCCTATAAACCGTTTTCTGCCAGGCGAATGCAGACAGAAAAGCGTCTGAATGATGATTTACATACCTGCGGCTATTTTCCTCGTTTCAATTGTGGGATAGCTCTCGTTGTGGGCAAATTTACAATGTTTGCTGAAGAAGGGATGCATTTATGATGTAAATGAACATTTTTCAACTGTTGAATCAAAATGAGGCCACTTTTGATTGGGAAATATATACAAACTACGTTGGTACTAGGAGACGCAAAGTTCTTGGTAAAAAATGTTGAACATGTAGATGACAACTTAGTTTTTTTTTTGACATGCGGCAAGAGACTGACACTTCTTTCTGTACAGAAGATATTCCTGCATTCTGAAAAAAGTGGTTTGGAAAACAAAAAAAGTACCGTTTTTTTTGCAGAATATCGTGCTATTACCCACTTATGAAAGGGAAAAGCACGCTAGCAGCAACATTCACGTTTCTCATACTGGTAAGTCGAAGGCTTGTTACTCACTGAAGGACAACAGCATCTGTTTAGGCCCCGCTAATGCTTTTGGCAGTAGAGGATTTATGTCCAGTAAAGATGCCTATGCCGACTGCACGCAAGAATTTGATCGTTTACGACCATAACATATATCGAAGCAAAATTGCCAAAGGGCTAGCCATAACGCCTGGTAAAGACGTTCTACCACGAGGAGAAAACATGTACAAAATGGTAGCGACTGACATACTCAAACCGTAACTGCAAAACTGCTTTCAGGAGTGGAGTTGTGAGTTGGAAAAGTTAGCAGCGCTAGCTGTGCGGGAGTGTCAAAAAACAAACATTTCCAGTTCATACGCAATGAATTTTGAATAGTAAATTTTGTGTTCCTTTCCTTCAAAAGAAAAACTTTTTTTGTCTTTAGCTTTGAAAGATTCTACGAGTATGGTTTGGAGAATCCCTACAATAGGGCTCTGAGATTATGGATATCCGCTCTAAATGAAGAAGACTTCACAGTTGTTTTCAACGGAGATAGCAAAATATTACCACTCGCAAATGTGGGTTGATACAAGCTAGTTTAATCTCAAATTATTTATCCTTTTACCATCTTGCTCAGACCCAAAATACAACTTTTAAGTTTGGCGTTGTATTGTTCCTTTCAAACTTGCAATTTCTTTCTAATGCATCACTGTTTATACATAGGATACGAAATGCAATCTTTTTCTCTCCATTTACATTAATGATAGCCACGAAGATTTAATAGAGCATCGAGTACCGTTTTTGCTCTACTTCTCTACTTATAGGCTGTATGGCTAAATTGTGTTTTAATGTAGGAACTAAAACAATCATTTTTTGTTATCAGCAAAGTCCTCAAAAATGTATTTGGGGGGGGGGGGGGGGGAGGACACTATCAGATAGAGCACAGCAAGTTCTACAAGATTAGTTAACATTTGTAAAATCAAAGCCGAAATCTGTATGCATTACCCTGAATTGGATCGCCATCGAGAAAGTCCTACAAAACTCGTCCTGGAGCATTCAGTAAGTATATCTATAATTAGCTGGGATAGGCTTTGATTGGTCACTTGTGTTCAAACTTCCTCGTTCCTGCTCTCCTTCTGTACGCATATTTTATGCGTCCGTGTTTCGTAGCATGCTCAAGCGTGTGTCCCAGTAGCCCACAGTTTGCAAAGGATCGATAGGATTGATGGTGACTGATAACAAAAAAAATACGACACCACCCCACAAAGAGATATGTGTGCACAATTTAATCAAGATCGGTTCAGAACTGAATTTTTTTGGTACATATCGTCGATTCGTTGACCGTACGGACTGCTCAAAGTTTGCGGGCCAGCGGCGTAGGTGAGATGATGCGATAGCACGACTTGTACAATAGCAATTTTGCATTGGGGCAAGTGTTTTACCCCGCGGCGCGGACTCCACAGTGATGTCCAGTCCGTTCCGTCAACGAACGACGATAAATCTTATATATAAAGCTGAATGTCTGTTTGTCTGTCTGTCTGTATGTATGTCGTCTGTCTGTATGTACGTATGTTCCGAATAGAGGATTCCATTTCTCAACCGATCCGGACCAAACTTGGCACCATACACTTCGGGGCCGGGCGGGTGTCATAGGCTAATTTTCGTCATCGATCGAAATCGATTTTATTGATTTTTCAGAAAGTCGGGTACAGGGGAGTTGGGAGTTGGCACGAGGGGGGAGGGGGATAAGCGAGCATGCTAATTACGAATATATTACTGACAGGGCCGGGCGGAGCCGGGTTTGACAGCTAGTCTTATATATAAAGTTGAATGTCTGTCTGCATGTTGTTCCGAATAGAAAATTCCATTTCTCAACCGATCCGGACCAAACTTGGCACCATACACTTCGGGGACGGGCGGGTGTTATAGGCTACTTTTTGTCATCGATCGATATCGATTTTATCGATTTTTATCGATTTTTTGGAAAGTTCGAGCTACGGGGCTGGGAGTAGGCACAGGGGAGTAATCGAGATTCCTGATTACTAAAACAGTGGGAACGGTGAATTGGCATGTAGACGTGGGCACAGGGAAATTTTGTACAAGATAGGGACGAAAGTTTTACCATAGTGTTTTGAAAGGGCCGAGCGGAGCCGGGGTTAGCCAGTTAGTACATACGTGAACATCAGTGGAGAACCGAGAAAATGAGTCTCCCCCCCCTCTCCCGGGGATGGGTCACAAAATTTTTGAAAGTTGCGTGAGTCATAAATATTAGGTCGTTTCATAAGTTCGTAAAGTTTTTATTTTTGTCGCCGTTTTTTGATGAAGCGGTTGGTTTACGGCAAACTACCTGTACCATTTAAAAGAGAAAATTCTTGCTCTACAAGAACTGTTGTTCGTTTTTGGAGCAAACCCAAATTCCCTTCCTTGACGACTTCTCAAAGCAAATTTTTTTGAGGTGCAAAAATTGGCTATTTCGGCACTTGCAGCTTTCGATCCATATACGGAGTCACAAGTGGGATTTCTTCATCTATTGTTATAAATGATGAAAAACGACTGTTCGTGGGACTACGGTGCATGTAAAAACAGTCTCCTTATCAAAAGAGACGCTATAAAGAAGGATTAAGCGCACTTTTACCATGTGTATAGATGTGTCGCGTTTAAAACAATTTAGAGAAGTCTCCACTCCAAAAAATTTTGAGGTTCGTAAAATGTTGGCCAGAGCTTGTGCTCTTACATCTGCACCACTTAGAAGAACCAATCCATTTCTCAAGGCCCGATAGGAGGACCGACACATTCTGTCGCTAGACAACGCGCAAAACTCAAGCGGCAATAGGCAAGACAACTACTGGGACCTTGTTCAGACGGTTCCAAGCATACTGGCATGCTGCAAATTTGTCAGCATCATCCTTGCTTGCCACTATCCATTCCGCCTACATATGACAATAGCATTTTGCGGGATACGGACCAAATGTGGAAAATGCAATTGCCGAAATCGCCAATTTTAGTCTTTCAAAAAACTTTGCTTTGAGAGGTTATAAATCAAAGGGACTTAGATTCGCTCCGAAAGCGAACAACGGTTCTTGTAGAGCAGGACTGGCTCTTTCGAAACGTACAGGTAGTTTGACATATAACAACCGCTTCATCGAGAAATGGCTACAAAAATAAAATCTCTACGGACTTATGAGACGACCTAATATATACAAGTAAGTTGTTTTAGTTGTAAATAAATTTTTTTTAAATTTTGGGAGGATTCATAATAGCCTCTAAACAGTTTTGGAGACGTGACTGCTGTCTTAATCTTAGGGTCGTGAGCCGGCAAAAATTTTAAGAAGCGCGAAAAAATTCCTTAGAGTGCGTGGCTAACCCGTGCACCTTCATTCGAAAAAATTTTGTTGCGCCCTCTCCCCTGACGCTTCTGCGACCGTTCCCGATACACACATACATACAAACGTTCAGATTTTTGGAGATTTTTCAAAATTTGGTTGAAATGCGGACGATATATTCTCAAAACATTGTTCTGCTCTGCGAAACAGTGTACAACTGTTTCACAATATGGCTCGCTCAGTTTTCAAAGAAAAACGGAATGATGCAGTGCAGTTTCAAAAATTCAGGGTTTTTAGGAATTTTCTCACAACTTGGAAAGTGGATCATATCTTCCCAATATTGCGTTCTGCCCTGTGCGACGTACAAACTCCTCGCACAATAGCACTCTTGCTCATATGCTCACCTTCTGAAAAAAAAATGATTTTTTGCAAAGCAGTTGCTTCCAAAATTCAAGATTTTCCTAGTCTTTCACTAAATTTGGCCAATAAAGTAGATGACATTTCCCCATAATAGTGCTCCGCTCTGAGCAATGCTGTACTATATCCTCCCACAATATCATTATGCTCACTCGCTTACTTTTTGAAAGAAAAATCATTTCTGCAGAGCAATTGCTCTTGAAATGAGCTTTCAGAGGTTTTCTCAAAATTCGCCCGGGAAGCGGAGATAACTTCCTCAAGTGATCTTCTGCCCATTATATGCAGCGCTGACAAGGGGAGGATACTTGGTGACCGTGGCCTTTTTGCAATGAGATATATACTATACTTGGGTCCGGATCGAATAGAAATTCGATCATTCGAATAAAACATTCGAATATATTCGTATTCGAAATTCGATATTCGGAGTTCTTCCATTTTCGAATAATATTCGAAACTCGAATAACCAAAAAACAGGGTTTCGAATAAAATTCGAAAACTCGAATAATCAAAAAACGAGGTTTCGAATATCATTCGAAAACTCGAATAATCAAAAAACGAGGTTTTGAATATTATTCGAAAACTCGAATAATCAAAAAACGGGGTTTCGAATAGATTTTATTCGAATGTTTTATTCGAATGTTTATTCGAATTCGTATTCGAATAAACAGTAGTAACAGTAACAATTTAACATGTAGTTGTAACATGTATGCTACATGTTACAACTACAGGTTAAATTCTAGATGGCGCGCACCCATGGACTGTATGCGTTGGTAGCGGATGGCGAAAAAGTGTTCAGTACAACCCAAAATACAAGAAACATAAATAAGAAATACGAAAAGAAGTATAAGAAACACTAGGCACTTACCAAGTATTGTTGATGAGTGTTGATGACGCAATCCACCCACGCAAATACGAAAATCCTATAAAAATCAAACATTAGTGAAAATGAGAATATTGGCAACTATATACGAAATAAAACACACGGTAAAGCTAGAAAGGTTGAATGAGACAATGATAAATGAGGACAGACTGAAAAATCAGAGCAAAACACGTAAAAGTAAGAAGTTGCACGAATACGAGAGAAACGAATCGCAATGAGAAAATATGATTTTGGGTAAGAATCGTGAACAAATGGTGAATCATCAGTCGATAAGATGCGCGTCCTTTAAACCGCGCCGCATGCCCATGCGTGCGCTCGTCCAGAGCGAAGAGGCGGGGCCTTCTGGCGCGCTCGAGCAGCTGGCAGCTGGGCGGCTGGCAGAGCTATCGTTATTCTTGACCGCCACCCATGACTCCGTATTCAAATTATTCGACTTTGTTGCAGAGCCAACTGCTGAGTATCAAGCTCACTTCGTCCGCGTTTTCATCTTTTGCAACCGTTATACCTTTGAACTGTATGGAGAGTCGCATTCTTCCGACTGCTTGCGACAGTAAAAAAATCTTATGTGGATTTTAATTGATGTAGAAAGTAGAGAAAGCCCTTTGCTTTTACATTGTTGATGCTGATAAGGGAACGACCATAGGTTGTCGGTGTTGTCGATGTTGTCGGTGTTGTCGATGTTGTCGGTGTTGTAGGGGTTGCCGAGGTTGCCGGTCGTTGTAGGACCTCTGATAGCCTCCACGTTTCGCGCGCTCTCTAAAATGTCTCTGACTCCGACAACTCCGACAACACCGACAACATCGACAACACCGACAACACTGACAACACCGACAACACCGACAACATCGACAACCTATGGCCGTTCTCTAAGAAATAAAGTTAATTCTGGTGCACAACAGTCTCTTTCAGGCCATCTGAAGAAGAATCTTTTGGGCACAGCATAAAAATTTAAAAAGTT